TATATGAGCTAGGAAGGGGGTATATGAGCTAGAAAGGGGGTATATGAGCTAGGAGGGGGATATATGAGCTAGGAAGGGGGTATATGAGCTAGAAAGGGGGGATATGAGCTAGGAGGGGGATATATAAGCTAGGAAGGGGGTATATGAGCTAGAAAGGGGATATATGAGCTAGAAAGGGGGTATATGAGCTAGAAAGGGGATATATGAGATAAGAATCGGGTATATGAGCTAGGAAGGGGGTATATGAGCTAGGAAGGGGATGTGTGAGCTTGGAAGGGGGTATATGAGCTAGGAAGGGAGTATATGAGGTAGGAAGGGGGCATATAAGCTAGGAAGGTTTAAAAAATGGCATCATTATTTGAATTGCAGTAGGGAATATTTTAAGTTTTATCTGGTTTGTGCCCCTCTTTCAAACAAACAAAGAAGCAAGACAGAAAAAGCAAAAAGATTATTTCTTTTCTTCCTCTTGGTTTGCAGGTGCCCTCACAACCAATGGCATAAATCCCGACACCAGTGCTGAAATTGGGCGTGCTAAGAACTGTCTGAGTCCTGAAGACATAATTGACAAATATAAGGAGGCCATTTCGTATTACAGCAAGGTGATTTTACTGCTTCGTAAATCCCTACAATGATTGTGTTGTTTTAATCAGGGGTTCCTGGTTTCCACTGTGAAATACTGCAGTACATCCCAGTTATTTGGTTCTGTAAGTATACATGTCTCATCCCATAATGCATGAAACTATATACTAAAACTCTTTTTTATTTTTGATTCAAAATTGTGTATATTTAATTTAATATTTGGAAAAAGGGGAAAAGGATGATCATATAGCCCCACTACTTGGAGATAACCATTTTAACATTTTAATATCCATTTTCTGGTCTTTCTGTCAACATATATTGCCTATATCATAAAAATGGCCAGCATCCTGTACTTACAGTGTGGAGACCTGCATTTTTCGCATGGAGTATCATGTGTTCCTCTCTTTAGTGAATCTTCCACGTCCTGATTTTTAATGAAGTGTGTAGCATTCTGTCTTCTGGAAGCACCATTCTTGTTACTCTGGATTTACTTATTTATTTAAATGTTTGTTATTTATTTTTGAGAGACAGAGAGACACATGATGAGCAGGGGTGGGGCAGAGAGCGAGGGAGACCTAGAATCTGAAGCAGGCTCCAGGCTCTGAGCTGTCAGCACAGAGCCTGATATGGGGCTCGAAGCCATGAACCGTGAGATCATGACTTGAGCCAAAGGCAGATGCTTAATTGACTGAGCCACCCAGCATCCCTTGGATTTAAAAAAAAATTTAAATTTCAAATATACATTCTGAAATACTGAAAACAAGAAGTCAGGCTGTACAGAAGAGCGGTAGCAAGCAGAAGATGAAACTCCTACCCTTATTTCTTAGAGTAACAGCTGTTAACAATTCGGTACCTATCTCTTGTGACCTTTATACCTGTGAAATATATATATGAGTGCATATATATCTCTTATTTAGGAAGATGAAACTATACCACGTGTGTTATTCTGTAGCTTGCTTCATTCACTCACAGATTCATCCTAGATGTTCTCCCACTGCAAACCTGCTTGATTCTTTCAGATAGGGTGGAAAGTCTTTTAATTTTTATTTAATGCTTATTTATTTTTGAGAGAGAGAGAGAGAGAGAGAGAGCGTGAGCAGGGGAGGGACAGATTGAGAGGGAGGCACAGAATCAGAAGCAGGCTCCAGGCTCAGAGCTGTCAGCACAGAGCCTGACTTGGGGCTGGAACTCATGAACCATGAGATCATGACCTGAGCTGAAGTCGGATGCTTAACTGACTGAGCCACCCAGATGCCCGTTGGGTGGAGTCTTCGAAAGTGTGGATGTAGTCATTTGTCAACGCTTTTTGTAAGAGGCCATTAGGACCCCGATACAGGGAGTAGACAGCACCTAGAGCATTTAGCTCTGCTCCCACAGAGCTCACCACGTGCTCTGATTTGCTTAATTCCTACCTTTTGATGGATGCTTAAGTTTTCTCACTTTCCCCTGTTACGAAAAAATGCCTCAGTGAACATTCTTGTATATATATTCTTGTGTTCTTGTGTGATTATTGCTTTAGTTATGATTCTGGAAATTTGGGGCACCTGTGTGGCTCGGTTGCGTGTCTGAGTTTGGCTCAGGTCATGATCTCACAGTTCCTGTGTTTGAGCCCCGTGCCTGACTTTGCACTGACAGTGCGGAGCTTGCTTTGGATTCTCTGTCCCCCCACTCTCTGACCCTCCCCTATGCACGCTCTTTCAAAAATAAATATTAAAAATTAAGAAAAAAGATTTTTGGAAATTTAATCACTGGATATGACATTTACATTTGTGATAAGTTACTCTCAAGTTACTCCCCAAATTTCTTCTCCAATAGGGAATGAAAAAGGTGTAGATCTATTTAATGGATTCTCTCTTACTACTATTATTTCATTTTAGTTTTCCTTCCCATAGTTGCAAACAGTGCTGTGATAAATGCCCTGGTAGGGAAATCTTTTTGGACTGATGTGTTTGTTTTTAAGGGGATAGTTCCTAGAAGTGGACTTGAGTCGAAGAGCATACATGGTGTTTTTAGAGTTTACTTAAAATATTGGCATAGTGTCCTTCAAAAGGGTTGACAGTCTGCTCTCTCACAAACACCGCCTCTTACATCCTTTTAGAATATTTGTCACTATGATGGACAAAAGTAACTTTTCATTGTTTTAGTTTGCATTTGATTACCAGTGAGATATTGGACATTTTTTTGCTTGTTGGCATTTATATTTCTTATATGAATTACCCATTTGTGTCCTTTGTACACATTTAAGTTAGGGTGTTTTTCTTGTTACTTTGTTATAGCTCTTTATATATGGTGCGTACCAGCTTCTTTTCTTTTATTGATGTCTATTACACATCTATGTTCGAAGGTTGCTTGCCTTTAATTTTGTTCAGGAACTTTTATTTTTGGTTGTGGTCAAACATGTTTTTAATATAGTAAATTTTTTCCTTAGGGGTTTTACCTTTGGTATTATGCTTAGAAATACTTTAACAATAAAATAAAGGGGTTTCCTCTGTTTTTTAAAAAAAGATTTTATTTATTTGAGAAAGAGAGCATGTGTGAGTCGGGGAAGGACAGAGAGAGAGGGAGAGAGAGAATCCCAAGCAGGCTCCGCATAGTCGGTGCAGAGCCTGATGCGGGGCTCGATCTCACGAACTGTGATATTATAGTCTGAGTCAAAATCAAGAGTCCGATGCTTAAATGATGGAGCCACCTAGGAGCCCCATCCTTAGGTTTTTTAAAATCTCTAAAACGGGGATGATGATAGTACCTGTCTGAAAGGGTTGTAGTGAGGATGAGCAGAGCTAAGTATATGGAAAGGGTTGTATTTGATGTTGTTAGCATTTTAAAATATTTATCTCCTTCCCTGTAATTTATTTTGTGTACATTATGACACAGCAATAGCATTTATTTTTTCCAGGTTACTGTCTAATGGTTCCACCACAATTTATGGAATTCATACTTTTTGTCTCTGATTTGAAATTCCACTTATACTGAATACATACATATATTGCAGTCTAATTCTGAGCTTTTTATTCCTTTCTATGAATTTCTTTTCTTACTCCAGCATCATGATATTTTATCTCCTGTGGTTATTTAATATGTAGTAGTGTGTCTTCTTTTCTTTAAAATACCTTCTTCCCATCCCAGATTTTCTTGGCTAGTATCATGAATAATAATTCCTCAAGAATCCTGAAATATTTCGTTCATGTTACAAAAAAAAAACCCACCAAAAAAAAAAAGCCAGATTGGAATTTTCATGGAGCTTGAAGTAAGTTTTGAATTATTTTTAGGAGAACTCCTATCTTTACAAAATTACTTTCTCTGTAGAATATGTTAGCATCTCTGCACTTATACATCTTATTTTAAGTCCTGCATTACAGAGTTGCAGGTTTCTTCTTAGAGAATGTGAGCATTGTTTTTAAGTTTATTTCTAGTTATTGCATGTGTTTTTGTTAATTTTGTGGGCGAGATTTTTTTTTTTTTTTTGCCCTTATATTTTTGAACTGCTTATAGCTGATATGTAGAAAGGCAGATTGAGGTTTTAATATTTGTTTTGTAACTGGCTGTTTAAAAATCATAGATATTAAGTACTTTTCCCAGACTCCTTTCTTTTCTGTCTTTTAAACTTTGTTTCCAAGATGATCAAAATGATCATAGCTACGTGCTGTAGGTGGGCAGACAGATGGAGAGAAGTCACGTGGCCCCTGTAACTAATTCTAGCAGTTTAGTGACTGCCTGTGGCCTAGAGAAGCAGGCAGAGCCAGGTTAGACCAGGGAGGCTCTGAACATGCATAGGAGCCAGGCTCTCCCACCTCTGTGGCAGAGACCCACGGGTGTGGCGGGTGGATGCCACTTTACCAGCCGTGTCTGATGGAAAGTTAGTGGCTGCCCATAGCACCGAGTCAGTGTCGGCGTCAGCCTCATCTCGGGGGGAGAGGCTTGTCTGCCGTGGGCACAGCAGGGAGACCAGGTGGCCGTGGGCTCTGAGTTTCCCCGTCCCGAGAGTGGAAAGAGCAGGCTCTGGAGTAAGACAGAACTGGGCCTGGGTCTCTTCCACTGAGTCTGCGCTGTCTGACCTCAGTCCTGTCATATGCTCTCAGCCCTGGGTTTCTTTTCTCTCAGATGGTGAGGTTAAGGCCTATTGCATCAAGATTTTTTTAAAAAAAGTTTTTAAAATGTTGATTTCTTTTGAGAGAGAGCGAGAGCGAGAGCACGTGAGCTAGTGGGGGGTGGGCAGGGAGAGAAGGAGAGAGAAAATCCCAAGCAGGCTCCGTGCTGTTAGTGCAGAGCTTCATGTGGGGCTCGATCCCGTGAACTGTGAGGTCATGCCGGAGCCAGTATCAAGAGTCAGATGCTCAACCCACTGAGCCCCCCAGGCACCCCTGTATCGCGTTTTTAACCAGAGGCCACAATTTATAAAATATCCACTCCTGTGGCAGATTCGTTTGTATTGCTCGATAAAAAATTGGTCGTCGTTTCTCCTTCCTTGGTTGAGTCCGTGCCCAGCCAGACGTCGGGGGAGAAACAGTTCCTAGTATTAGGCCTGTGATGCAGGCGGGCGGAGCAAACGCAAGTCTTGCCCTTCTCTGGTTGTAGTTTTATTCATTTGCTTCATTTTCCTCTTAGTTCCTTGTCTTCCTTTACGTCCTTCCCCCCCCCCCCCCGTGAGGGGACAGTGATACAAGAATGTGTGTACACTTCTCAGATTTGATTTGATCGTATTTGACTTGTACACACATGCTTGCACACATACACGTGCACAGGCACACACACAGGCATGCACTCACGCACAGGCACACGCGCACACCCGTCAGACTACCTCCCCCTCACTGAGGGAGAAGCACCGCTTTTCGGTTGTCAGTCACTGTGAGTGACAGTGACGTCTCTCAAGCAGATTCTTGGTGGCTCACAAATGATTTTTTATTAGAGTTCTGATTTGTGGCCAAGAAAATTCTCTTGTTTTAGAAGAAATGAAATGGAGACATAGACATTCTCCCGAGATATTGATGTCATATTTATAGTTGGAAGGAACCTGAGAGAACATAGAGCCTCATACTTTTTCTTAGGTGAGACACTGAAGCCCAGAGAGGGTAAGTGACTCGACTGAAGTCACACAGGGACATTATTTGTACTGGAAGCTGGGTCTTCTGGCTTCTTCTACACACAGATGAAAAGACAGCTGGATTGGGCGGCAGGGGACCTTCCTCTCTTGAGCTACGGTGTATGGGCTGAGCTCTCTGTGCTCACCCACCTTTAGCTTTGTTCCTGTGGCCTCTCAGGTAAAGGTCACTTTGTTCCTAATGGCACGGTTGCTCCACGGTAGGCCTGGAGTCAGACAGACCACCGTTCAAATCCTGTCTCCACCCATCACTAGCTTTGTAGCCTTGGGTGAGAAACTTTACTTTTTTTTAAGTCTCATTTTAGAACCTAAAATAAGGATAATAATTATTTTAGTTTTTTTTTTAAAACTTTTTTATAGTTTATTTATTTTTGAGACAGAGAGAGACAGAACATGAGTGGGGGAGGGGCAGAGAGAGAGGGAGACACAGAATCTGAAGCAGGCTCCAGGCTCTGAGCTGTCAGCACAGAACCTGATGTGGGGCTCGAACCCACGAACCATGAGATCATGACTTGAGCCAAAGTTGGACGCTTAACCGACTGAGCCACCCAGGCACCCCATGTTTTAGGGCTTTTGTTTTAGAATTGAATGAGATACTTCCCTCATCTGTTCCTGAAATACTGATCGTACAAATCTGTGCTGGTAGGTAGGACTCAGTAGTGAGAACGGGGCTTGGTCCCTGCATCCCAGAGTTATGTTCCAGGAACACGCTTGTGGGGAGGTTGTCAGTAACTGTCCGTTTTTTACCTAATCCCCGCTGATTGTGGATACCTTTCTACTGATGTATGAACAATTCTTTATGATCGTAGTTTAAATCTTTGTAATATAATTAAAAATATGTAAGTAGAACATAAACATAAGTGAAAAAAATGGAGTTGGCTTTTATTGTCACCTAAATGGAAGTTGTTTTAAAGGTTTTGAAGGAAAAGAAGTTACTGAGTTTCAGTGCAATAAAGTCCTTCTGTGAGTTTTTTGTTGTTGTGTTGTTAAATGGTATATAAAAATCGGTAATCTCTGACTTCAGCGTTGGTAGTTAGGTAAGAGTAGTTTCTCTTTGTGATTGTGCGTGGTAGTTTTTGTAATGTGCCACAAATTACGTATGTGTTACATACTTGGGAAGAGTGGAGGCTCCCCTTCCCAGCACAGCCCCTTCTCCTTCTACCTTATAAAAATAATTTTAGTAAGAAATAAGAGCTTCTTAACAATTGGCAGATGGACAGACGTAGTCTCCCGGGCATTTCTGCCTGCCAGGCCCACGGGGGTCTCAGTAAATACTTGTTGATGGAATGGGGGGTCTCCAATATTTGATGCCTCAAGAGGAGTATCGGTGAGGGACCTCCTCCTCCTCGGGCCGCCCCTAGGCCCTGGTGGACATGGATTTATGTCTGTACGACTTTTCCTCAACTGCAGGTTTCATCAGATACCTCCACTGAAAATCACTCAAGCTCGGGATACTTAGGAAGAAAACAAAACCGGGTTGGAGCGGAAAAGAAAACAGAACAGCTAGTGCGCAGAGTTTCCGCGCCGCAGCCTGGGCGGGGCGGGGGTGCGATGGACGCTGGAGGGAGGGCGCCAGGCCAGGGGGCCCGGGGGCCACTCCGCAGCCCGCTCCAGGCTCCGAGCCACACGGCGTGGCGGCTCTCATGGCTTGAAGTTACCGTGGGCAGAACGGTGAGCACTGGAGGTGAGGTCTGAGGAGCGCTGAGCCAGTGTTACTATCGAGCTGGGGAGTGAAGTCCTCAGTACCTTTTCTGTCACCTGTGTCGTTTGTCCTTCATCTCAGGAGCTGAGAAGCAGACAAGGAGCTGGGAGAGACCATCAGAGAGGCATGGGACACTTAAGTAAAGGGCACATAGTGAAGCGGGGAGCTAGGATGTTTGCAACAAAGTCCAGTGAATTTACAGCTGCTGCAGGTGTGAGAGGGTCTGCGGTGTTTCAGAGCACAGGAGGCGCTGAGTGGGAATGGAGCGCAGGGTATCCACTGATATAATTTTGAAATTTTGTGAGATATCCAGCTGTGGTGGTTGTGTTATTTGAACAAATGCATACATATTTATATGGGCACCAACGTTCTCCGACCCCATAATGACAGACTTCCCCAAATACAGTCCTCACTCCCTGCTCCCCGCTCCCCCTTCCCCCTGTGAGGGGGGCAGTCGCGTCCTGGAACTTGGGGAAGTGCCCTGCAGGGCTTTGGCTTCACCGTAGGACAGAAAATCTTTACTCTCCTTTTTTGACGCGGGTCTCCCTCTGCACCCTGCAGTACAAGAATGCCGGAGTGATTGAGTTAGAAGCGTGTGTCAAGGCCGTGCGTGTCCTCGCCATTCAGAAGCGGAGCATGGAAGCCTCAGAATTCCTCCAGAACGCGGTGTACATCAATCTTCGACAGGTGGGTGCACGTCCCTGTCCCGTGTGTGGAAGAGTGAGCGCAGCTCTCCTGAAGCTTGCCGTGACCCTGCCGCCAGGATGCAGTGGCTCCGTGTGGACTCTGCAGCCAGAGCTCAGTACCCTAAGTACTGTTTTACGTTATGGTTTTTTACTTTCAAAATTCTGATTTCTTTTTCTTAAATTTTAGAGAGAGAGAGGGCATAGGTGAGCAGGGGGGAGGGACAGAGAGGAGGGAGAGACGGAGAAAGAAACTACTAAGCAGGACCCATGCTTAGCGTGGAGCCCAACATGGGGGTCGATCCCACGACCTGAGCCAAAATCAAGAGTTGGACGCTCAATTGACTGAGCCACGCAGGCGCCCCCAATTCAGAATTTTCTGTCCTTAAATTTTTTCTTGATTAGGGAAACCACTTTGCCTCTTACCAGCTTTGTGACCTTGGTCCGGCTCTGCCTCTTGTTACTTGTGATGTGACTGCCATTTGTATCCCTGTCTGGGTGGTTAGGTTTCTAAAACACGAAGTCTGGGAAAGTCCTTTGGACCGTTCATGTTACACAGTAGGCACTCAAGCGGTACTGCTCAGTCTGCATCTGATAGGATTTTAATAAAATCATTAGAAAGTTTGGCTGCAGGTCGCTAATGCAAAATCATGAAGTTGGTAGTCTAGAAAGTTTTGAGACATTTAGCTAATTTAACTTGGATTTTGATGGACGGGACAGCCAAGTGTCGTAAGTTCAGCAGCATGTATAAGGACCCATGGCTGGGAGTGGGACACAGGTGACTGTAACAGCGAAGCTCTTTGCTGAGCGCAGGCTGTGCTGAGGGGGGGGAGAGGCGGGTTCTGCCCTCCCCGCGATGACAGCTTCATGGCAGAGATGGACCTTCAGGGTGGGACGAGTAAAAAAAAATGGAAAAGGGAGTATGGCAAACGGATTGAAGCCGGTTTGGTGGTGGTGGAGGGTGTGGGGTCAGGGGCTGTCTGGGGCGGTGAGGTTCAAGTTGTGAATTTGTTCTTAGTCCTCATAACCCTGGCGGCCAAGTGCAGTTATTCCTGTTTACCTAAGAGGAGCCTCAGGCTAGAGAAGAGTTATGTTATGTGTCAGAGTCAGATCACAGTCTCGGAGGTGAAGGGGCCTCTGGAAGGCATGCTTGCTGATACCTACTTCCCATGACGCTCCCCAGCAGAGGCGAGCTGCAGTGCTGCGGTCTGTGGGCCCTAGAATATTCAGTGGGTGGCAGGACAGACTTGGCTGGGCTCACTGTACTGCTTGAGTGTGCAGTCTGGGGGTGGGGAAGCAGGCACTAGACATACGTAAAATAAATGATCACCGACCGTGAGCGGCTCTGCAGAGGAAAAGAACCTGCTTCATCGTGTAGAGCTGGGGAATATCCTCGCCAGGATGCTCTGGTGGTGCCCATCCCAGTAATGGAAGTTCTGTTACCAGGCAGGGACCAGAAGGCAGGGCGCCCCCATTAGCAGGTACCCTGAAACTCACCGAGTATACCTGAGGCTACGCAGCCAGTTTATGGCAGGTAGGTAACTAGGTGTGAAGAGACTGTCATCATAGCAACTTTGGTAAGTAGTTTATCGTAGCCTGTTGTAGGGAAGGGCTAGTCGAGGACGTGACTTTGCTGTGTGCCTGGGATTTCCTCGTAGACACCACCGTTGGTATGTAAACGTGGTTGGCTGTGACTCTGAAGTCTGAGGTCTGTGGACTGCATCACAGAGCTTTCCCCAAATGACTGAAACTAATTTCTTAATTGGTAGAAAATGGTGACGATAAGAGAAAGGGGTAGTAAGTGTCTGAGAAACTTGGCAGGAGCCGGCACCACACCAGATTTGAGAACGTACCGCAGGACCAGTGTGGTCGCCCCAACACGATGCTCGCTTAGGCCCGATGTTCAGGAATGGTCCTGGGCCGTTTAAAGAGCACTGTGGCTCATGATCTGTGACCTCCTTGTCTCTGGTTAACTTTCTCTTCAGAGCCATTTACGTTTTGTGCAGGCTACTCTGTTCAGATGTAAGAACAGCCTCTTTCAACGTCTGGCTGCAGTTTCTTAATGAAGCTGTTGCTAAGGAACCCAGTAAAAGCGGGCAGATATGCACATGATAATTGTAACCTCAGAACTTTATGTAAATTAAGCCCCAAATCAGAGGGACGGGGAGATTCAGGAAAGGCCTTTTAAGATAGAAGGGGAAAGTGTAACGATAGGGCCCAGGTGAGACCGGGACATGTCAGTCCCAGCAGCACGGCGCCCAGCTTTCCGGATGGCGTGTGGGGACCTCACCGTTCTTGCACAGAAAGAAACGGTTGCATGGGGAGGAGGGAAGTCGCGTTGCTTACTGGAGAAGGGACAGGAGAGGGGGGCGCAGTGAACACCATGCAGCGTGGCCTTCTGGTATAAGGCAGAGGGCTTCTGTGCGGAGCAGGCAGAGAAGGAAGTGTGTTGGTGACAAGTTAGAGCTGCACAGAAAGGGACAGAGCAGGCTGGGGGGGGGGGGTGGCCCTGCCACCAGCCGGGCTTCAGGGGAGGAGCCGCTCTCCAGGCCACCGGGTCGGCCTCGCTTGTTGCCATGGGAGCCCAATGAGGTGAGGACAGAGGGAGAGGGCTGACATCAGGGGAGAGTCAGAGACAGAAGGGGTTCCGCACGTGTGGTTGCATTCAACTCGAGGGCATTGAGGATCGCGCTCCGTGGTGAGAAGGCTGTGGCAGAATATCCCACATGGGGACGGCCGACAGCTGACACAGATCTCTGTGTCACGGGCACCGGGCTCTTGTAGCTCATCATCTGTTTCTTCGTCAGCTGTCGGGATCTGGACCCTGTTTTAGCTCCGTACGCGCACGTCCTGGCGTGTTATACTCCCCTCCCCCTGGTTTCACTTAACTGCAGTCCTCACTTTCTCTCCCCACTTTTCTCCTTTTGTTCTTATTGTTGCTAAGTTGTGTTTAAAAAGTTGATTTAGGTTTTTTTTTTTTTTTTTAGAGTGGGGCAGAATGTAAATAAATGCATAAACAGAATCACAGACACCTCCTGCTCTTCGAAATTCTAGGCTACTTACCCTGGTAGTTATGGAGCCGACATTAAAGTGAGAAATCTTTAATGAGGAAGTCTGGTAATGCCTGTGAGTCCACGCACGCGTGTCAGAGGGCAGGTCCCGCTAACATCTGCTGGGTGTGGATGCAAGAGAGCGGGATGAATGCAGTCACCCCTCCTCTTGTGGCAGTGAAGGCAGTGACCACGTGCACGGCATCGTACTGAGAGCTTTACTGCGCTTCTGCCTTTAATCCTTAAAACCCTCCTGTGAGGAATTACTTTGTATTGTTAGATGTTTATTTATGTTGAGACAGAGCACAAGCGAGCAGCGCATGCGAGGGGGGAAGAGGCAGAGAGAGAGGAAGAGAGAAGCCCAGCCAGGCTTCATGCTGTCAGCACAGAGCCCCACATGGGGTTCTGTCTCGCAAACCGTGAGGTCATGACCTGAGCTGAAATCGAGAGTCCGACGCTTAACCAACTGAGCCACCCCAGATGCCCCTACTTTGTATTTTTGATGCATAATCCACTTCATTTTGAATGATTTTAGACTTTTGAAAATGTTACGAGAGTAGTACAATGAACACTCACGTCCTTGTCGCCTAAAAGGATAGTGTTGGTCTTTGTCTGTCTGGCTGACTCCCGGAGCATAACGTGTTCAGGGTTCATTCAAGTTGTAGCAAGAGTCAGTGCCCCCTTCTTGTTTCGGGGCAGGAGTCCGTGCTCCCTTCTTGTTTCGGGGCAGGAGTCTGTGCTCCCTTCTTGTTTCGGGGCAGGAGTCTGTGCTCCCTTCTTGTTTCGGGACAGGAGTCTGTGCTCCCTTCTTGTTTCGGGGCAGGAGTCTGTGCTTGCTACTTGTTTTGGGGCTGGATAGGATCCCACAGTGTGGATAGACTCCATTTTGCTTATTCATTCTTCAGTCAATGGAGATTGGGTTGTTTCCACCCTTGGCTGTTACGAATAATGCTGCTGTGAGCACTGATGTGTGAGTTTTTGTGAGGACGTATGTTTTCAGTGCCTAGGGGTGGAGGGGCTGGGTCATCTGGTGACTCTCTGTTTCACCTTCTGAGGAGTTACCAGACTGTTTTCCAAATGTGTGCCCCATTTACAGAACCATTACATTGTCTTCATGTCCACACTGATGCGTGATATTGTCCACCTCACGGTCACAACCATCCTGCTGGGTGTGCAGAGTTGTGTCCTTTGGTCTTGGTTTGCATTTCCCTGATGCCTCATGATGTTGAGCATCTTTTCATGTGCTTATGGGCCTTTTGAATCTGTGTGTAAATGCTTTGCCAGTTTTTAAATTGGGTTTTGTTTTCTTTTTATTGTTCATTTGTGGGAGCTTGTTCTATATCCTGGATACTAGTCTCTTATCAGATAGCCACTCTGCAAAAGTCTTCTCCCTTCCTGTGGATTGTCATTTCACCTTGTTGATGATGTCCTTTGCAGCACGGACGTCACTTTTGATGAAGTCAGTTTACCTGTTTGTCTTATCATTCATGCTTTTGGTGTGGCATTGAGGAAAACGTAGCCTGACCCAGTATCACAGAGCTTTACCGTTTTCATCTAGGAAGGTCATAGGTTTAGTTTTTGCATTTAGGCCCGTGAGCCCATTTTGAGTTAATTTTGATGGTCCGCAGTCAACTCAGACTGCTCCTGTGGCAGATAGACACCCAGTTGGCCCAGCGCCCTCTGTGGACTACACATCCTTCCCCGACTGAGCGATCGTGGACCCTTGTGGAAAATTGCCTGTAAGCGTAAGTTTTTTTTCTGGATTTTTAGCTCCATTCCATTGATTTATCTGTGCATCTGTCCCTGCCTTGCTCCCAGTAGCTTCGTAGTAAGTTTTGAAGTTGGGAAGTGTGAGTCGTCTATCTTTCCTCTTCTTTTTCAAGATTGTTTCGGGTATTCAGGGTCCCTCGAACTTCTGTGTGCATTTTGGGGTCACATGCCAATTCCTGCAAGG